TAGCGCTCTCCCACTTGAGCCACAGTGCCACTTCCGGCTTTTTTCTTTTTGCTTATGTGGTGCTGAGGAATCGAACCCAGGGCCTCATGCCTGCAAGGCAAGCACTCTACCACTGAGCCACCTTCCCAGTCCTCAAGCACTTTTAAACTAGTGAGCCCAGTCTTGTGAATCTCCACCAGTTTCTTGTGGGAGATTGTGGGTACCCTGGGGAGATTAAATCTCTGGGGAGATACAGGCTAGAAAGAAAATACAACAGATTAATACCCTCCACGGTAAGACCAAGGAACGCGCCAGTAACAAGGCCCTTCAGTGTGGTTACTGTTGGCTGCAGGAGCCTGAGGAGGGGAGAGGTCAATGAAGACATGTCCCCTCAAATGCAGCAATGACCAAACTAGATTGGCCAGGGGAGCAGGGCAGAGTGCTTGGCCTATGGCTGCCAAATGCAGTTAGGAGTAAGTTCTAGGGTCCTACAGCCCAGTAAGGTGACTGTATAAAGGGTTAAAAGAGAGGCTTGAGGGTTCCAAATATAAAGAAACAATAAAGGAGATGAAAATATCAGTTCCCAGGGAATATACATCTGACATAACATACTGTAATCCACAGGTGTGTATAATTATGAAGTCTTACTAAAGAAAACAAAAACAACCCCCAAAAACATATACCTTGGTAACCACTAGAACTAAACACCGTTGCTAAGCCCTGTAACGCCTTTCCTATCTTCTGGTATTCCTTGGGTAGTGCTGAAAGAGAAAAAAGAAGAAATGGTTAGCTATACCTCTGAGCAGACTGAATGAGATACAACTGTCTTTTTTTAATAAAATGCTGATACAAAAATGATGAACCGATTACTGATTTCTTCAATTAATCTTTTAAATCATTATTTCATTGCCTAATTAGTGATGGATGCTGCCATGCGCCCATCCCCTGCACTCACTGGATGGAACACAAATGAAAGGACATTCCCTCAGGGGCTCCTTGGGGAAAAGGCACTTGCACTTACACACACACACACACACACACACACACACTCACTCACTCACACTCAGCACATCACCCCACACTCAGAGATGCCATCTCCATTGAGAGGAACAAGGCACAGAAAACCTACACGAGGGGCCCACATCACAGGCAAGCCAATAACAAGCTGGACTAACGCTGACAAAACTGTGTGGTGAGAACGATGAGGCGACTCACTTCTGATCCCATGCTAGCTAGGATTCTGGGGTCACTGGGGTCAGGGTTTCTGCATCGCAGGCCGCTCTGTATATGTGAACTGAGCCCCTCAAGGGCTTCTGCAGCCTTTGGAAAAGAAGTGCTGCTTGAGCTATGCTGCAGGCTATGGGGGCTGAGTCCAGAGTGAGCTGGCCGAGGAAACTTTCTGAGCTCACTTACCCAGTTTCTGCCTCTACCTGGAGTTAAAGATCCCATCAAGAACTTAACCACAATTTTCATTTTTCAGAATAAGATTTTTAAAGTCTATATTTGTAAGAAGAAAAAAAATTCCTGAATTAACTCCTACATCAAGTGCCGCAATTTCTCCCTATCTCCAAAAGAGCAGCAGTATTCATCCAGCGTTTCCTGGTGTATAACCGTGACTTCTGAGTATATAAGGCATACAGTGGCCACACATAAGGGACTGAATTCTGTAAAAGAAACCCTAATGCCGCATTTGTGTGATGTCCTTAAAAAAACTGGATCATGCTGGGTGTGGTATCTCACACCTGTAATCCTAGTTACTCAAGAGGCTGAGATATGGGAATCCCGGTTCAAAGTCAGCCCAGCTAGGAAAGTCTCGAGACTCTTACCTCCAATTAGCCATTAGAAAACTATTAGTGTTGCTGTGATTCAAAGTGGTAGAACATTAGTCTTGAGCAAAAGAGCTCAGGAATAGTGTCCAGGCCCTGAGTTCAAGCCCAAGACCAAGCAATGAAACAAAACAACAACCAGAAAAAATTGGATTACTAGGTTTACAATCGCTTAACCGTTTCCCCCAAAGGACACACAAATGTAAGTGACTTGTTATGATGGCCTTGCAAGAGCTTTACAGCTACAGTGAACTTAATTTTTTGTTGTTATTGGTTTCTTTTTTGTTTTAATGGTTCTAGTTCTGGGGATTTAATTCAAGGTCATTGCACTTACTAAGCAGGTGCTCTACCACTTGAGCCATGCTTTTAGTTCATCTTTTGCTTCTTGCTTTTCATTCACTTTTGCCTGGATTGGCCTAAACTTCCACTTCTACTTCATACATGGCTGGAATTTCAGTTGTGAGACGCATGCTCACCTTTCTTTTGTTGGGACAGGGCCTTGCTAACTTTTTATTACTATCTAGCCTTTAGTCATTATCCCCCCAATCTCTTTCTCCTGAGTGGCTGGAATTATAGGCATGAGCTATCAAGCATGCCTAGATGCATTTTTCAAAGTTGACTTCTTTCACTTACACTTTATTTCAAATTAATTATTTTTGCAATGTCGAGGGTGGAACCCAGAGCTTCAGTCATGCTAGGCAAGCCCTCTGCCACTGAGCTCCATTCCCAGCCCTCCTCCATTTATGCCTAGAGAACAGCGTCACTGGATGATGGGTTGTGCTGTTCCATCCGGGGCGACCTGCCAGCAGAGCCGCACAGCCCTGTGGATATGAACAGCACCTGACTCACAGCATGGTCGTCTGCACACCAATGACAGGAAGGCAGAAGTTCTTAGAGCCAGGGAAGGGTGAACAGGCCATGGCTGACACCCCTCTCCCCTCTGTAGTACCTAATCCATCTGACTCACCTGACGGTATTTTCTATTACCTATTCTGGCTTTTCCCAAAAATTAGGGCTTCATCAAATATAACATATCTTACCACATGGATAAAGATTAAAAAATAAAATCATGAGCAGGACTCCAGAGTCTTTAACCTGTAACTTCGCTTCTGGGAAAGGAGAATGGTAGGATCTCAGTTCAAGGCCAGACCAGGTAAAATGTTTAAGAGACGCCATCCATCCAATAGCAGATGGTGGTATACACTTCCCATCCCAGTTATGTGGGAAGCTAAGACTGGAGGGTAGTGGTTCCAGGCCAGTTCAGGCAAAAAATCTAAGATCCTATCTCAATAGAAAAAGCTGCACGTGGTGGTGTGTGCTTACCACCCCAGCTACAGTGAGGAGGTTCACATTCTAGGCAAAAATAAACCATCTTAAAAGTTAACAAGAACAAGCTGGGTACTGGTGGCTCATGCCTGTATTCCTAGCTACTCAGGAGGCTGAGATCTTGGGATGCAGGTTTGAAGCCAGCTAGGCAAGAAAGTCTGAGAGACTCTTATCTTCACATAAAACCAAAAAGCCAGAAGTGGAGCTGTGGTTCAAGGGGTAGTGTACTAACCTTGAGCAAAAAAGCTTAGGACAGTGGCCAGACCCTGAGTTCAAGCCCCAGGACTGGCACACACACTATACATCACACACACACACACAAGCCCCAGGACTGGCACACAAACTATACATCACACACACTATACATCACACACACACTATACATCACACACACACACACACAGAGCAAAAAAAGGGGCTAGAAGTTTAGCTCATATAGTAGTGGAGTGTTTGTCTAGTGACCATGAAGGCCTGAGTTCAAACTCCAGTACCACAAAAATAAATAAAAATCATTAACTGGATGTGTAGCACATGTCTGTAATCCCAGAACTTGGAAGCTAAGCCAGAAAGAATGAGAGTTGAGGGCAGCCTGGGATACATGGTTAATTCCTGCCTAAATAAAGAAGCAAATTTGTAAGTAAAAATAACTAAGTTCACTCTGAACAATGAATTAAATTTCCAGAGTATAAAACCCCAAATAACTGAACATTAAACATAGTGTGGTTTCTTATGAGGCTTTTTGATTTGAACTTTGTTGGGTGGAAAAGGAGAGTGAAGCCAAAGCTATGTCACCCTTGTATGTGAGGGGCAGGGTCCCCAGACCAGAAGAGGCACTCACGCCCAGTGCAGCGCTTCCAGTGCTCCTGCCCCACGGTCAGCAGCTCCTTCACACCGTCATCCATGGCCTTGGTGAATTTCCCCACAGCATCACATTTCTGTTCTCTGTGGGCAGAGACACCATCCGTCACATAGAGGATAAGGCACTGATCACACAGCCCCAGCTTCTTGCTTTCCTGCATGCTGACACCTGCCCTTCAACGAGGTGAGTCTCCGAAGGGGCTGGATTCCGATTTTCTTTCTTTTTTTTTTTTTTTTGGTCGGTCGTGGGACTTGAACTCTGGGCCTGGGCACTGTCCCTCAGCTCTTCAGCTCAAGGCGAGTGCTCTACCCTCAGCTCTTCAGCTCAAGGCGAGTGCTCTACCACTTGAGCTACAGCGCCACTTCCGGTTTTCTGGTGGTTTATTGGAGATAGGAGTCTCACGGTCTCTCCTGCCCGGACTGGCTTTGAAGCGCGATCCTCAGATCTCAGCCTCCTGAGTAGCTAGAATTACAGGCGTGAGCCACCAGCGCCCGGCTTGGATTCTGATTTTCAAAGAACTATTTACAATCTGCCATGTACATTTTAACTTTGCTTTCTTTCCTCCTCAATTCTTATAAATTACTCTAAAGGCAATAAATCCATCATTTCCTGAATATGTTATTTAGGGAAGTATTGGGATTGTTTATTTATTATTTTAATGAAACACAGACAAAAAAGGCAGAACATACCACATAGTAATACTTAAGACAGAACCTCCTTACTGATAAAGAAGGATCTACCAGCCTGCAAAGACCATGACATACCACTGGATCAAAAAAGGTTGTAAGACAGAATATAGGGGCTATGCTGTAGCTCAGTGGTAAACATGAACTTATTAGCATGTGTCAGGCCTTGGGTTCAAGCCCTGGAACCGAAATTGAAACACCAAGCCAGCTAAACAAAACCCAAGAATATAAAGTAAGATTATTTAATTTAATCACACAGTTTTCAAAAGTATATATGTTTAGAAGAGTTTGGAAGTCTGTAAATAACATTCTAACACCAATTATATTTCTCTTCTGAAGGGAAAAATTAGAGAATTGTGCTTTCATGCTTTTTTTCTATGTTTTTGTTTAATATATAGCAATAAACTCTTTTTTTAAAAACTAGTCTTGGACAAAAAAGGAGCCTATTTTAAGCAATGATTAAATAATGTGAAACACACAAGCAAAGCAGGGTACACACTTCTTTTCTTTTTTTTTTGGGGAGGCTGATCGTGGGGCCTGAACTCTGGGCCTGGGCGCTGTCCCTCAGCTCTTCAGCTCAGGCTAGTGCTCTACCATTTGAGCCACATCGCCACTTCCGGCTTTTTTCTTTTTGCTTATGTGGTGCTGAGGAATCGAACCCAGGGCCTCAGGCATGCAAGGCAAGCGCTCTACCACTGAGCCACCTTCCCAGCCCCAGGGTACATACTTCTTGCTTCAGAGCAGTGCTTGCGAGCTTTCTGCCGGGCTGCGGGTACAGCTGGGGAGGTGAGCACACGCATGCTAGGCTGCGGATTCCATTCCCAGCACTGAGAAAAAACCAAAAACTAATCTGCTTCGCTGGATACTGTGGGTGCTGGTGGCTCAATGTCGTTTTGGCTCCGTATGTTTTATTGGAAATAATTGTGTCAACTAGAAAATCTGATAAGCCAGAAAGCCAGGACTAAAGTGAGCACCTGATGTCCTTGTTACCTGACTATAAACCCCCACTCACTTCATGTGAATTACAACCGTGAAAACCAGGCCCCGAGTGTAAGCCGGAGAAGGTAGATGGAGATGGAGAGGAGGGAAATTCGGCAGTGGCCCTTACATTTCTATTAGGTCCAAGTCAGGTGCCTCTGGTTCCATGGTGGAAAATATCATAACTCCCACCAGCTCATCTTTTTCTGCCTTCCTCTTTCCGGTTTTCCATTCCTGTGAGAACAGTATGACGATGTTAAAGGGGCCGCAGTTCAAACTGGCTTGCCAAATTCCTGAAGCCAAGCAGCTAGCACTCCCCAGCTAGCACTGGGGAGATGTTAGATGGTAGGTGCCTAACACACCCATCTTTCACCTCAGGGCATGACCTGTGAGGCCAGGCCCTCTCACAGTGAATACTTCAGCCACAATTCCTTTTCCAGTGCCACATGGAATACAGTCAATTTGGACAAACACAACTGCTTTCTAAAAAAGTAATGCTTTTCCAAAATATAAGAAACTTAAAAACAAATAGATTATGAGCCTTATCTAGTTGACCCTCTCCCTTCCTCTCTCCCCACAAACACACAAGGTGTCCCAAGCAAAGGTGGCATAGTGAGCCCTCACAGCGAGGGTGCCACTATCTTCTTTATGGGAGGACACAGGAGAGATCTACCCCCAAATTAGTTTTGCTACTTTTCCCTGCTGGCAAAGAACCCCACAGTATGCCCTGTTTAGCCTGTCTTTTTTGGTTCCACCTATGGTTATGAGCTACACTGACGCTGACATGAATGCGCAGCGCACTCCTTTCATGTGTGAAGATGACGGCCAGGTTAGCGTTCTGCTGTTCTAGTGGTAGCCACCTCTAGTGAGTGAGGGCTCCCGACAGGTCTGCACTATTTCTCTCTGGTATATTCCTAGAAGCGGAGATGCTGGGTCCTGAGTACTCAATCTCAGTTGACAGGTCAGTAAAGCTGTTTTCCTATTGATTTCTTTCTGCGTTCCTAGGGCTTGAACTCGGGGCCGAGCACTGTCCCTGAGCCTCTCTGTGCCCTTGAGCCACAGCACCCCTTCTGGCTTTTTCTGTATACGTGGTACTAAGGACTTGAACCCAGGGCTTCATGCATGCTAGGTAAGCACTCTACCACTAAGCCACATTCCTAGTCCCCTCCAATTTTTTTTTTTTTTTTTGCTTATGTGGTGCTGAGGAATCAAACCCAGGGCCTCACGCATGCAAGGCAAGCGCTCTGTACCACTGAGCCACCTTCCCAGCCCTCCAATTTTTTTTTAAACCAGTTTTTACTCCCACCAGCAGAGTATGGGTCTCAGTGGCATGTCACCCCATCTAGAAGACACCTGCCATGTTCAGTCCTTCCTTATTTACCCAGTGTGGCTGCAGTTTGCATTTCCTTAATTGTTGATGAGATTAAGCACTTTTCTATGTATTTATTCATGGCGGATGGCTCAGATGTCTTTTTCTGTGAATGAAGTACATTATCAAATTTCCTAACTGCCAAGTGCTGGTGGCTCAAGCCTGTGATCTTAGCTGTTAAGGAGGCTGAGATCTGAGGATCACAGTTCAAAGCCAGCCCAGGCAGGAAAGACCATGAGAGTCTTTCCTCCAATTAACCATCAGAACACCAGAAGTGGAGCTGTTGCTTAAAGTGATAGACTGCTAATCTTGAGCAAAAGAGCTCAGAGACAGCACCCAGTCCCCATAAAATAAAATAAATTTTGCTGGGTGCCAATGGCTCAGATCTATAATCTTAACAACTGAGGAGGTTGAGATCTGAAGGTCAGTCACTATTTGAAGTCAGCCCAGTCAGAAAAGTCCATGACACTCTTATCTCCAATAAACTACTCAGAAAAAGCTGGAAGCAGGGCTGTGGCTCAAGTGTAGAGTGCTAGCCTTGAGCACAAAGAGGCTCAGGAACAGCACCCAGGTCTTGAGTTCAAGCCCCAGGACAAAAAAAAAAGCCACAGATGTCTAGGATATATTATTGTTATTATTAAACTGTACTATGGATAAACATGCCCTTCAAAAATGGTTTGTGTGGGCTGGGAAGGTGGCTCAGTGGTAGAGAGCTTGCCTTGCATGCATGAGGCCCTGGGTTCGATTCTTCAGCACCACAGAAGCAGAAAAAGCCGGAAGTGGCGCTGTGGCACAAGTGGTAGAGGGTTAACCTTGAGCTGAAGAGCTGAGGGACAACGCCCAGGTCCAGAGTTCAGGCCCACAACCGACAAAAAAAAAAAAAAAAAGGTTTGTGTAACTGCAATGTAACGTAATGTTTTCTCTCACAACAGCTCCCCACCATAACTCACACACATCCTCTCAGGAGTTGAGGTTGGCTAGAGCAATGGGAAAGGCTCACTGATTACCGTCAGACTCGCATGGCAGTTCTGAGACACACATACACACACACACACAGATACAGATACACACACAAAGTGTACAAAGAAAGAACCGCTGGAAACAAGGCCCCAATATTCCATTATTTTAAGAGTATGTATCTGTCTGTAAATATATAGAGCCCTTTGAACAGTTTTAAAAATGCATTTTTTTTTGGTCGGTTGTGGGGCTTGAACTCTGGGCCTGGGCACTGTGCCTCAGCTCTTCAGCTCAAGGCAAGCGCTCTACCACTTGAGCTACAGTGCCACTTCCGGTTTTCTGGTGGTTTATTGGAGATAGGAGTCTCACGATCTCTCCTGCCCCGGCTGGCTTTGAAGCGTGATCCTCAGATCTCAGCCTCCTGAGTAGTTAGGATTACAGGCGTGAGCCACCAGCGCCCCGGCAAAAATGCATTCTTTTAAAAATGCATTCACTGGGCTGGGAAGGTGGCTCAGTGGTAGAGTGCTTGCCTTACATGCCTGAGGCCCTGGCTTTGATTCCTCAGCACCACATAAGCAAAAAGAAAAAAGCCGGAAGTGGCGCTGTGGCTCAAGTGGTAGAGCGCTAGCCTTGAGCTAAAGAGCTGAGGGACAGTGCCCAGGCCCAGAGTTCAGGCTCCAAAAAAAAAAAGCATTCACTTCAACAAGTGAAAAAAAAGTTTAGCAAGTTTAGCAAGTAAATCTGTCTGAAAATTCTAACAGGGTATATGATAGTCTATTATTTGAAGAAAAGTAGCACCTTTGAATGGTCATATATTTAGCACCCATGTGCTTTGCGTTAACTCACTTTTTTACTCTTTTAGAGTGTTTTCTGAAATAGGAATATTTGTTGTAAGGAGTAAAATTACAGAGAAGACGTCTTCGGAAAAAAGAAAGATTCACCAAGGAGCCCAGTGAAGGTGAGTGAGAGGAAATATCTGCAGAGCAGCTGATAATGAGATGTCTGGCAGCCAGGTCTTCCTGGTGTCAGCGAGGAGCAAACGGACACTGACAGAATGGCTGGCTAGGGGGTGGGCAGTTACACAAAAGTGACTTGACTCTGAGAAGAACCATTCATCTTGGACTCCCTTTCCTTTGGTGATATGGAGGCGCTGTGGGGCCGAAGGCAGCCAGAAGACTTGCTCCTCCCATTCCTGTCCTATTAGGCTAACTGCACTCTCCTTTGGGATTTGTATTATTATTATTATTTTTGGTCATGGGGCTTCAACTCTCGGCCTAGGCGCTGTCCCTGTGCTCTTCAGCTCAAGGTGAGTGCTCTACCACTTGAGCCACAGTGCCACTTCTGGTTTGCTAGTGGTTTATTGGAGATAAGAGTCTCACGGACTTTCCTGCCTAGGCTGGCTTTGAACCGTGATCCTGAGATCTCAGCCTCCTGAGTAGCTGGGATTACAGGGGTGAGCCACTGATGCCTGGCTCTGTATTACTTTTTAAAGCACCTCCCAAAACAACTCACTAAGTGGTACACCTGCCCCGCATACCAGGGACGCTGCTAATAGGTCCTGGACGTGGCACGACCAGCTTCCTATGGCTGGGTTTACATTTCTGTCTCTTTGCTTGAAGGGAGTGACAAATAACCAACCAAGGGAACTTTAGTCCTTTCAGAGGTAAATTTGGAATGAATGTGACACCACAGTGAGGAGCTGCCCTACCTTCTCGTCTCGGAAGTTCAGGAACTGCTGGAAAAGCTCACTTTCTGAGACCACTGGGTGGCGGCACATCCTGGTCATCCAGGCCTGAAGCCTCTCCATGCGCATTTTGATAAATTCTTCTTCAAAGCGACCTGAAAAAGATAGACTATGAGTGACACAACTCTCTAAAGTAAACTGACAAGCTATGTTTTATTTGCTATGACTACTGGCTGCTTGGTAGAAAGCTATTTTATAAAAGGTGCACTACAGCGATTTATCACTACCTTAAAAACATTTGCTGGAAATGCTCAAAGACCTCCAAGGAAGGATGCGGCAGGATTTTAGTTTGTTGGTTTGTTTTTGGCAGTATGGGGCTTGAACTCAAGCTTCTGCACTTACCTGCCTGCTTGTTCCACTGGCATGCTACAACTTGAGCCAAGCCTCTAGCCCAGCTGTTTGCTGATTATTCTGGAGACATAGTCTCTTAAGACTTTTGTGCCCACATAGCTTCAAAGTGTAATTCTTAGATTTAAACTCCTCAGCAGCCAGGATTATTATGGGCATAAGCCACCAGTCTTTTTCTTTTTTTGGTCGGTCGTAGGGCTTGAACTCTGGGCCTGGACACTGTCCCTGAGCTCTTCAGCTCAAGGCAAGTGCTCTACCACTTGAGCCACAGCGCCACTTCTGGTTTTCTGGTGGTTAATTGGAGATAAGAGTCTCATGGACTTTCCTGCCCAGGCTGGCTTTGAACCGTGATCCTCAGATCTCAGCATCCTGAGTAGCTAGGATTACAGCTGTGAGCCACTGGTGCCTGGCTTGGTGTCTAATTTTTAAAAATGAGTTTCCAGTTTACTATATTTACAAATATTATAATTAAGACTTAAAATTTTAAGGTAAGTCTTATCAATACAGAAGACTATCTCTAGTTTATAAACAAACACAAAGTCAGCCTTTTCTGGATGGCCCAATGCAGTTAACACTCTAGAACAAACCAAGTACTTGTATTCAAAACAAAGAAAAGCAACTCTACAGGTAGATGTGGTGCTGTATGCCTGTAATCCCAGCACTAAGAGGCTAAGACAGGAGGACCCAGAGTTTAAGGCCAGCTTGGACTACAGAGCCAGTTCCAGGGCAACCAGAGACACATAAAAAGACCCTGTTCCAAAAACCAAAACAGAAAAAGCAAGAATGAGATGAAGGCAGGAGAAGGAAGGAGGAGGAAGAAAACAGAGGAGGAGGAAGAAGAGAGGGTCAACAAGGATTCAGGACTGAAGCTTTGTTCTCCATTAAAAAAAACAATAAAGTAGCAAAGACATTTGTTTTCATGAATCCAATAATGAGAGCTCCTATCCTAGAACTTACAACCATGAGAAGTACAGCTTGGTAACTGTTTTTTTTTTTTTCCTAATTTATTTTTTAAATAAGTTACTGTTTCTGTTTTAAAGGAACAAATTGGGCTTGACAAACACCCCAGAGTCAACATCAAAGGAACACTGAGAATTTATGAGCCTACAAAACAAATTCGCCAATGGTGAAGAGGTTTCTGAAGGTAGAATTCCAGCTATGGCCATGTACCTGAGCCAATCCTCACCCCACGCAGCACAGAAGCGCAAACAGCACCTCTGCACTCAGGCAGACATCTGAGAAGCAGGTCTGCATATCCTGTGTATGTGGTTTGGGTCACATACTGTGAATCCAGACACAAGCACAAGAGCTCTGATAGCGAATGGGATCAAACATCCCACTAGGCATTTGGGTGACTTCCATGTGTGTGCGCTCTGCTCCGGGTACCTCTTCACAGCTGTACTAACTACTGATGCCCTACTTGTGCATCTTATTGCTCTAAAACCTGCCAGTGCATCACTAGTTCACAGGACAATCTGATTGCATCCTTTTACCTGTCATTCTATGTTTAGCATTACAAACACTCACCTGTGACTTGCTTGTCTGGAAGAGAAGGAATTGGAATGGCTGACCCAAACTTAACTAGGAGACGTTCATATAACCAGTCAAAGTGCTTATACCTGTGGTTTACAGATCGATTAGTGTTCTGCAAGACAAGAGAAACAGACAAAAAGTTAGCAATGCCAACAGCAGAAAAGAAAGAGAAAGCAGGTAATGAGGTACTCACAGTGGGTGTCAGCTGATACTCAATGTAGCTCTTCAGACCATACATCTTGGAGCCTTTCCTAGGATCTGCTACCACACAGTCAAAGGTAGAGGTAGGATAAACCCACATGGGGCCATAATCTCCAACCTACACAATGGTAGAGAAAAAGTTCATTTTGTACTGAGAAATTGCTATAAAGCAGCACATGAGTCTTTTCAAAGAGGCCTTTGGTGGACCAGTCTTGCTTTTCTTTGAGGAGGTGGACATTGGTGTCAGTCCCAGGTAAATGTCACAGACAAGGAGCACACTTGTTGGACAACTGCTGTTCACCAAGATGGTTGGTCCCCGGGGAGGCAAGATGTGGTGGGTGGGGGGTGGGGTAGGAGGGGTGGGAGGTCTCAGCTTCTCTAGACTAGCTGTCTCAAGCTATATATAATGAAGGGCTGTTGTTTTCAAATTCCTATCCCCCCTGCCCAGACTGGTTAAGTTTTATGAGCTAAAAAAACACACACCTGGACTCCTCCATGCTCTTGTATTACTACCAAGTCTTCTACACACTGTTTTTACACTTATTTCATGGTATACTGGAAACAGCAGTTTTAAAATGGGCAGTTGGTCTGTGGATGGTATTTCGATCAGCATTATTCTAGCTACAGAAATGACTAACTGGATTGCACAGAGGCTGGTATTTATTGTTTTACCGTGTGCGTGCACGCGCGCGCGCACGTGTGTATGTGTGTGTGCGTGTGTGTGTGTGTTGTTTCTCAAAGGCAAGACTCTCAGAGTCAGGCAGGGTGGAATACACCTGTAAGCCCAGGACTCGGTATGTTGAGGTTAAGGAGACCATGGATTAGAAGCTACCTGGAACTTCTTCCCCCAGAAGACCCATGCTAGCTATTTTCTCTTGGTACTGCTTGTGCAGAAGCAGTGGGCTGGCCTACTTCCTAAGCCAGGTGCATGCCTACCCAGCAAAGAATGTACAAAGAAGGCAGGTCCCCATTCCTCCTGCACTGTCCTGACCAGGCTTATGCTAGCACCAGGGTGGGGGGTGATCCTGGAGTGGGGTTAAGAATGGAAAGCAACCAAGCTTGAAGTGGGGTGCTGAGAACTAGAATGTAAGTTCTGAGCTGTGGATCACTTCTGCCAGGCATCTAGGTGACAATGGAACTACCACCCCACATCTGGCTGTTTCACTTGTTTAAAATTAAACCCAAGGCCATGGAGGCATCTTCAGCGGACCTTGGCTCCCGGGGACGCTCTACATCCCCATCAGGTTCAAGCTGTGTCACTCTTTCAGAAAGTTTGCTACAGAAAGGTTATAGATCTCAGAAATCCAGAACAATGGATCTTATAAAAAAACACATAAAGTGCATCAGCAGTTCTATACTATCTTGAAAATACGTTATCTTCTCACATTGTGATTTAAAAAAAACCCTGGGTTATATAGTTCAGGAACAAGGTAAAAATTAAAAAAAGAAAACCAACACAAGGTCAATAAATAGCACTACTTCTTTCTTGCCTCTGACCCTCTCAGTGCTGAGAGTGGGCTTGAACTCATGGCCTCAGGCTCTTACTTAGCTTTTTCCACTCAAGGATGGCTCTCTGCCACCTGAGCCACACCTCCGCTTGCAGCTTTTTGTTAGTTAACTGGAGATAAGAGCCTTTTTAGCTTGTCTGAGCAAGCTAGCTTTACACCAAGAGCCTCAGATCTTAGTCTCCTGAGTAAGCTAGGAATATAGGTACGAGCCACCAGCACCCAGAATAGAAAACTATTTATAGAAAAGAGGTTCATTCAGAGTTTCGAGGAGGAATGAAAACAGGCTTCAGTTATGTAGTTAATACAAGTATGGCAAGAAAGTAAAAGAAGCTGAGGAAGACCATCCATACTGAGCTGAAGGAACAGAGATTTGTGCAGGCTGAGACCTCCATGTGGAGGCAAGCAGATATAAGAGCAAAAGGATATCCAGTCCTCATTCTGTTTTAAGAATGAAACAGGATGGAGTATAAAAGTTCAGAGGTCATTAGTCAGGGAGGTGACTGAGGACATTTAATAAAGGACTAAAGAGAAGATCTCGGGGAACAAACACTATCTGGTCCTTAGAGGAGGGGATCCAGGAGACGCTCCCAAACCTGCAGCTATGACGGCTACCTTGGGGAACATCTGAGAGGAAACACTACCAAAGCACAGAAGCAGGTCTCTGCTTTCTTTTGTCTATGGGGTTCATGTCCACCTCTGTCTAAAACTCAGGCACAGGCTGCACCTCTCTGCCAGGTCTACCCTGTCTGTGAAAGCCCAGAACATGACGTGAAAGGCCACAGACTCCTAATTCAATGGAGTTTGAAATTTAGTGAAAAGAAGAAGGAGGCTTTTTACAAACAGCCTTGCAGAAACAAATTATTTGTTAATCTAACTACTTAGAAGATAATTACTCCAAATTTGCATTGAGGGAAAAAGGATAAAAGGGTCTTTCCAAGATCTTAAGCTTTTCAAAGATGCTGAAATAATAATTAATTATATACCCAGTATATCCAGTATCACTCCTGAAATTTCATCATGTCTCCCAGGACCCAAAGACTATAAAATAAGACCAGTGATTCCTCATTCTTATTTGTATCAATGGTGACTGCATCAAGGCATCCCCTTGTGCTTACAGTTAGGTCATCAGGTTCAAAAAATAGACATGGCAAGGCTAGGAATGTGGCTCTGTGGTAGAGTGCTTGCCTACCATACATGAAGCCCTTGGTTTGATTCCTCAGTACCACATACACAGAAAAAGTTGAAAGTGGCACTGTGGCTCAAGTGGTAGAGTGCTAGCCTTGAACAAAAAGAAGCTCAGGGACAGTGCCCAGACCCTGAGCTCAAGCCCCATGACTAGCAAACAAACAAAACCAAACAAAAACAAAGAAAAAAAACAGAATTTCATTTCATTGGGGAATATAGAGCTATATACTATCTAAAATAAAATCTATCAGTCATCAAAATACAGCACAACACCAAAGACTGTGTATGTGTGTTAGCAATAACCATTTCCCTAATAATACTCTAAATCAATTCTGAAGAAGTCATTAACTCCCAGCTTTTATTTGCTTGCTCCTTGAGTTGACAGCTGGCTTGCTAGAAGAAACACTATTACCAGCACATTGGAAAAGGTACCTATTCTCTTATTATATTTGCATTTTCCCAGGATAGAAATCTAAATATCTGAATTGAGTTTATTAGCTAAACATATGGGGCAAGTAAAAAACAAACAGCATATGGCTTATGCTTCACAACACTTTAGAAAATAAAAAAGTAAAAAAAAAAAGAAAAGAAAAAAGTATTAAAATACATAAAATGAATATTGTTGGTTCAGTATTAATAGTCTGAAATACTCTAAAAGTAAAAAATACCTGGATAGGGCTGGCAAGGTGGCTCAGTGGTAGAGTGCTTACCTTGCATGCATGAGGGCTTGGGTTCAATTCTTCAGCACCACATAAGCAGAAAAAGCTGGAAGTGGTGCTATGTCTCAAGTGGTAGAGTGCTAGCCTTGAGGTGAAAAGCTGAGGAACAGTGCCCAGGCCTAGGCCCAGAATTCAGGCCCCACGACCAGCAAAGAAAAAAAAAAGAATATCTGGACAATAACAGGCATTACTTTATGCTAACTATTTATAGGACCCCTAAAATGCTAACCTATTGGTTATTTAGAATATTATATCTATTTAAAAATATCTCCCCAAAGTCTAATAACTCTCCTAGCTTTAAGGTATTATCAAAGACCTTATTTAGAAATAAAGAAAACAAACAAATGAACAAACTTACAATGATGGGAATTTTCTCTTTGGGTTTTGCTAGTTGCTTGGCCAACAAATATTGCTCCATTCCAGGTTTTGCAAATCCAGGAAACCTGGTCATGAAGACAAGTGTTCATAAGTCTTGTGTCTTTTCTTGTAAGAATTCTACAGTTCTCACCCAGGTTACCCTAACACACCAGTTTTAAACTTGTTCTTTCAGATGAACCAGAACTGGAAACTGTGGTAAGTGAAACCAACGTAATCAGATCGATCAGTGGCCAGGGAGCTGCTTTTAAGCTCAACAGAGGGAAGAAAGCAAGCAGCACGATTCCAGCAGGTGTGGTAACTCATGAGCATGTTACCTGCTCACCAGACCTCACTCACCCCCTCCCCTAGCCCTCAGCATTATCAATGATGTGGCCACAAGGGCGATGGCCACACTACATTTTCCCTTTAGCACACCCAGTCGGAGAGGCTAGTCATCCCTAATTTCTGGTACTGTTCACAGCATTTGTGTCATTATCTTCTGGACTGGCCTTAAGAACCAGTTTATAAGGCAGGGCAGAAGTCTCCCTAGTGAATCAATCCAAAGTATAATAAATTTGGCTACTTCCAGGAAAATAAAAAAAAAAAAAAAACTACATCCAAATGGTATTCCTCAAATTGGGGAATATATGCATAGCCATTTCTCAAAAAGAAAGCATTCATTTGGGGCTTAGATTTTCTTTCTAAACTTACAATGGGAAAAAAATTCTTATTTTTACAAAATCCCAGCTGCATTACTTGGAATTCATTCCAATACCAAGCCAAAGGCCAATGTGACATCTCAGGTCCTTTATCCTTTCTTCATTCTCAAGCTAACTTCCCTGCAGTTTCCCACCCTTACCCCCCACTGTAACACAGCACCTACAGGAGATCACAAATCTGGGGGCAGGGGCTACAAAGGGAAGCTCCAGTTCTGGGAGCCTTAGCTTCCCCATGTGAAGATGGGACCAAGCACCTCTGAGCCAAGGGGATGGAAGCCTGATGTAGCACCCTAGTGCTGTATGTACTCAGTGAGTTAAATCACAGGGAGTTGTGTTATCATCTCCTTGCAAGGATTCCCTGCAGCCTCAATGGGGTTTTCTCCCTGCTTACTCGGCACTGAGAAGTCTGCCTGCCTCACAATTTATCACACGTCATTGTCACTGCTCAATCCAGCAGGCTTGTGGCGCCTTAGAGAACATACTGCCTACGCAGGACCTGGGAGGAGTTCTGAGAACACACTAACTACTTCATGAATGAATAGTCTCCCCTATAGCCCCTCCACTGAAGAACCTGTACTCTTGTGGGAATCGCATATAGCAACAACTCCTGGACCAGCCAGTCTCTGCAAGGGCAAAGCATACTGCACTTTTTGGTATGCTACAGATCATAGAAAAACTGGTGCTGACTATGGACACCTAGTTAATATTCTCTGAGCAGTTATGTACTTTAGTGATTACCACAGCAATCTAAAATGGAGTTCAAGCATATTAAGTTTCTGATCTCCCGCTCTGGTATAAGGTTATGTTCTATAACTACAATGCTGCTGTCATACAAAATGAATTGCTGAAAGCTGCTAATACTTAAATAGTTTTAAAATGTGTTGCAAACTTAAGTGACTTATTTATGTATGAATTAATCAAATAAGAATACATAGGGTTTTTATTTTTCTTAACTATTTCTGTGTGTATTTTCTTTTTTTTTTTATTCTGGGGATCAAACTCAGGATGTTGTACTTGCTACACAAGTCCTTTGCCACTCAACTACATCCTAGTCCAACAGAGTTTTTAGTTGTTCCCAGTACCAGAGAGACAGAAGCCTCAGAACACAAGTTTAAAGAGGACAACTTGAATGACATTTTAAGACAGAAAGAATCCTTAAAGCTAACTTCTTTAGAGCTGAGGAAAATGAAGTTCAAATAGTCAGCAAACTCAGAGCAAGTCTCATGGGCACAATGCAGAGAGGAACAAGAACTGGAGTCTCTGTTGCAAAACAGGGTCCAGAGGCAAATTACATTTAAGTGGGTTGTAATCATACTTTACACTTAGGTTTACAGAACAACTTTAGAATAATGCATATCACTATTGGCCCAAGGGATAACTTCAAATTTAAGAACTCATATATAGCCAAGAATCAGTAACTAATTTTATTCTGCATGCCACTGACCCCCAAGAAAATACATTACGTGCCCAGATCCCCGCTACCTCTACTGCCATTTACACTGACTTGTTAAGTGGCAGCTTCATGGACGAGGCACCAGGCCGTGTGCTTCCTCGCTGGGCACTGCCTGCATCAGCCGCTTCCGAATCCTTAAAGTAAGAGGACTTGGGCTCATCCCAGTCTTCGTCCCAGTCATCATCATCACCAGTTGCTAGAAATGGGAGGAGAAGATAATCGGTGCAGAACATGAGAAAACATAGAAAAATAAATTACTTAATTTTCTGGTAACAACTGACTGATGAAAGGTAGAAAGCAGGGCGCGGTGCAAGAGTACAATGTGGATGTTGTAAGTAAAGGCTCCTTATAAGTCAGCGTCAGGGTTGAATGATTTCTGCTTTTTGGTGGGAAAGAAAAATCAGAAAAAAGGTAAATATGAATATTAAGTACATTAACTGTGTGAGTGTGTGCCTGTCCTGGGGTTTGAACTCAAAGTCTGGGCAGTGCCCCTGAGCTTTTGTGCTCAAGGCTAGCATTCTGCCAACTTGAGCCACAGCTCCACTTTCAGCGTTTTAGTGGTTAACTGGAGACATGTTTTTCAGACTTTCCTGCCTCGGCTGGCTTGGAATCACGATCCCCAGACCTCAGTCTCTTGAGTAGCTAGGATCACAGGTACAAGCCCCTGGTACCCAGCTGGTCCACTAATTTTTGGCCACAGCCCAAATTCCTTATACAAAATAGTGCAGTATTGGCTCAACTCCGACACACATCCTGCTGTACTTCAATCATTTCTAAATTACTTATAATTCTTAACAATAAGAACAAAAGTTGTGTAAAAAGTTGTTACACTCGATTGTTTAGACAAAAATGAGAGGGGAGAATAAGCCATGTTCAACACAAGACAGACTTGTTTTTGGTCATGGAAGGTGTACGTGGCCTGGGGAGGGGAGAAATTTTGAATAAATCCAGGTTGTTGAACCTGAGGTTTCAGCACTTTCGTTGAAGGACGTAGGGTTGCAAAAGGGCAGGCTGTATTTAATCTCCCACTCCAGCTCCTGACACAGTCTAGTCCCTTGGAATTCACTGGGTAAGAGGAATAGCTTCCTTTCTAATGAGGTAACTTATGGCAGGCTCTTCAACAGGGTTGGTCCCTCTAGATAGAGGGATTATGATTAACCAAGGCATGACAGAGGCTTAGAATTTTTAGCCCAACCACACCCTGAGACGGCTTAATATCCAGTTAATAATCAACCATGCCTACGGGATGCGCCTTTATCCCTGCAGCGTGGGCTTCTTCACGCTGTGTGCGGTGCTGGAGGTGGAGTGCCAGCGAGGGCGTGGATGCTCCACGCCTCCCCCAAGCCTGGCTCTCTGCATCTTCTCATCTGGTGTTCAACAGGATCCTGACTTCCCTCTGCCAACCACGGACTTGCTTTGTAAGTCAGGCGTTTCCCTAAGTCCTGTGACCTGCGCTAGCAAATTAATGGAATCTGAGGAGGGGACTGAGAGAAGGCAGATGCGCCAGAAGGACCGTGTGGAATGGCAGAACTCCCGGGCAGTGTCCTCTGGAAAGCTGGGAAGCGCCTGGGGCCTGGTCACTGTTGTGCTGGCGGAAATGGCAAGACCAGTTTGGTTTTCTGTCTCTTTACCTTCAGAAGCCTCTCCTCACCTGGTCCTTGGTAGGCCTGAGGGTGGCCGAAGGCAGCATCCCAGTTGTTGGAAGTGTTTCTCTGCGTACCAGTTGCCTCTGGCTTGGACCCCCAGCCATCTGAGCTGTCCCAGTTCCCAGATTTAGGGGTGTTCCAGGCTGACCAGGGGTCATTACTACTACCAGCCTGTGGGGACAAGACAAACAAGGAACACTGTGATATCTAGGAACTGACGCCATTCAGTAATGGGCTGTAAACGCAGAACGGAAGGGTTGAAAGCCAATAGAATTTTATTTAGTAATTTTAAATCTCAACAGTTACACCCCCCCCCCAAAAAAAGCAAAACACTTCTGATGCTGTATTTGCTTAGGAACTCTGCATTTGAAAAGCAGACACAAAGAAAGCATCAGACTTGGCTACAGCTCTTGCTTTTTCCTTCCAGTCAGTAACTATTTCCCTCGGCAGTCTTCATTGCCAGCATCTCTACACCCTACTGTGTATACACAGCCCCAAGTAACGACTGTTTTATGGTTTTTAAACTCACCTATAGAATTTTATACTGTTTGTGTGTGTTTCCCAGTTGGTGCTTTTTATTACACCTGCTTAAATGCTTTATAGCAATCCATTATATTTTTAGTTAAGTGATTTTTATCTGAAAAAGTAACACATGTATAGTAAAAAAAAAAAAAAAACACCAAAAAAACACCTCAAATGGAATGAAAGGATATACAACTGAGCAACATGTCCACACCTTAGGATACCAACTAAGGCAACTGTTGTTGCCAAAAGACAAAAGCACAGCAAGTTTAGTCATAAATCTCTCAGCTTTTATTCCTGATTCATGAACTGAGCAGCTTCCAACCTATGAAAGAGAGTGAGAGGCTGTGCAGGGCAACTGTGACCAGCAATACTGATGCCCATGTATCTTGTTTTCAGTATCCTAATAAGTTCCTAAAAAATAGCTTGCTGTGTTTGATCTAGAATAGGTGATTTTCAACAAGCAAGCACAGGAAGAATGGTATTTAGAACATGCTAACACCCAACACTGTTAAAGTGACACCTGTGTTAGGAAACTCATCTCAGCCACTGTAGAAAGGTTGGAAGATAGGGACAGGCTGAGACGGATGGATATGTGAGAAAGCAGGAACAGTAAAATCTAGAAGGTAAAGATATGAAACTTGCTTAAACTTTTTGCCCTCAAAAATTTTAACAAGGGCTGGGAAGGTGGCTCAGTGGTAGAGCGCTTGCCTTGCATGCATGAGGCCCTGGGTTCGATTCCTCAGCACCACAGAAGCAGAAATAAGCTGGAAGTGAGGCTGGCACTCAAGTGGTAGAGCGCTAGCCTTCAGCTGAAGAGCCCCCATGTTCAGGCCCCATGACCGACCAAAAAAAAATTTTTTTTTTAACAAAATGGAAAAATGAAACAAGACCTGTTCAACCACTGTACTGTGAGCTTAGAGTGACACTAGTGGTGGAAATGGCAGGTGCACGCACTATGTTTGATAAGCCAGGAAAGTGGTACACGTGACAGTCCTTTGCCGCTTAATAATGGACAGAGCATCAGGCAACTGTGTTGTTGCGCGCATCACAGGTCGCAGGGTAGTCTCACAAATCTGGGAGGTATCAACCTCGACACACTGGTCAATAGAATTCCATGTGTGCTGTCACTATGGCTCCCAAGCCACGATGAACAAAGCAGTGCAAGGTTAAACCAAACACAAGAGAAAATGTTCAATCCACAGTGGCAGTAAGTGCAGCATACAAGAGGCTGTCAATATAACATGGTAGTGTTGCACAGTGAACTTTTTCTTAAGCTGAAGGAGGGCATTCCAAAATAATGGAATAAAAAGTACAGTACAGTAAGTATGTAAACCAATTAATACAGCTGTTTACCATTATCACTGAGCATTATACACTGGATTAATACAGCCACATCTCTCTCTCTCTTTCTGTACAATGATTTGAACTCAGGGCCTCATGCTTGCTAGGTAGGTATGTGCTATCGACCATTTCAGCCACATGCCACTTTTTATGTTTTAGATTTTAGATAGGGTTTGTGCTTTTAGCGAGTGGCTGGTTTTGTACCTCAATACTTCAACGCTCTGCCTTCTTAGTAGCTGAGATCACACAAGTGTCCCACTAACCCCAACCTTGCGACACACTTTTATAAGACTAGCAGCACAACGAATCACTATAAACACCTGAGTGGTCAATGTGCTATGTTAGGCTACAACAACATTACTGAGTGATGAGTTTTCAGCTCTATTGTAATCTGACAGGGCCACTGTTATTTATATGCAGTCTATGGACCAAGGCACTGTTAAGTAGTGTACAACTATATATATCTCCACCTTAAAATAAAAAGGTGCTCATAAACAGCATTGTCACTAAAGCGAACACAGCCTCAAATGAGTGCTAGCTAGCATAGCTGTGACTGGACAACACACACACACACATGCACACACGCACGCACGCACGCACACACGCGCACACACACACACACACACACACACAGTTTTTCGGTCAGTCAGGGGCTTGAACTCTGGGCCTGGATGCTGTCCCTGCGCTCAAGTGCTCTACCACTTGAGCCACAGGGCCACTTCCGATTTTCTAGTGGTTTACTGGAGATAAGAGTCTCATGGACTTTCCTGCCTAGGCTGGCTTTGAACTGTGATCCTCAGATCTCAGCCTCCTGAGTAGCTAGGATTATAGGTGTGAGCCACTGGCGCCTGGCAAAAACTATATTGTTATGTAAAATGGCTAGGAGAACACTGATCTACTAGAAGGATTTTAAATCCTGCATAACCACAGGTATAGTGATTAAGGATTTAGGCTCTAAAGTCAATCTAGGTTTGTGTCCCTGCTCTACCACTCACCAGTTGCATATACAGCTTCCACTGTATTTTTAAAGTGGCTGTAGTTACATTACCTTCCTAATAGGGGTTTTATTAAGTATTACATGGTATAATCATGTAATAATACAAACCATATAACAGAATACTAGTACATAGCATGTATTCATTTAGTAAATTATCTTAATGTATATGGGAACTCATTTAAAATAAAAAGAAAATAGCCAGGTACAGTGGTACATGCCTATAATCACAGTGGTCAGAAGGATGCCAAGTTTGAGGCTAGTATCGGCTAAGACACCTTGTCTTAAAACATAAAATAAAACTGAAAATATAAAAATAAAATATAAAGAAAAGAATGAAAACCAGTATTTTCTTGAAACCAGTATTTTCTGAGCAAATTCCCCATCTGAGTACCACATTTATTAGCTTATGCTACAAATAAGAAGGCCAAACAGTTTTATTGCAAATGGTTCAGCACTAAGTCGTATTACTAGAGAAGCTTAGAGAAAATTCTAGGCACTTACAATCTATTCTCTTCACAAACATAAAAGAGGCTGGAGAGAGAACTGACATCTGTGTGCTGAACGCTGAGAGCCTGGTGTGCTCAAATCTAAGTCCTACGGTGACGAGCTGGGTTACGACGCCTGCTTTACTATGGATCCCTTAGCCGCTAACTTCATGGCTCTGAGCCTCAACGGCTCCTTTCCTTTGTCTGTCAACTGCAGCCCTGTTCAAATAACAGCCTTGTGTTGGCTGCCATTTCAGTTTCTCCAGTTTTTCCTTCCACCTTTCCCTCCCTGGTCATTTCTACCAAGCATCACTTCCAGTCTCTTCTCTGCCCTTCCCGGGTGCAGGCACTCTCAGCCACAGAATGTCACCCGTTCACTAGAGCTCACTGCCCAGGGACAAATGCCCCAGTGAAAGCCACACATAAATGCCTGCAGGATCGTCATTCTTCAGCCGATGCTGAAGAAAAGCCTTCTCGAGACCCTTTACCTGAAACCATTTCCTCATGTGGGAAGAAACAATTACTGTTAAGGGTTGGTAAATGTTTATTTCCTCTTACATTTAAGTTTGAAATTTACCTTATTTATGAAAGAAGGAGACGGAGAAGAAGAAGAAGGTGGTGACTGGCTGCGACTTTCAACACAACCAATCTGAGCCAAAATATCAACCTTAAAATAAAAAGGTGCTCAGTGAATGGGTGAAGAATATACCAGAAGTTTTAGCTCAACACTGCAAATTTATGGCAGAGCTAAATTCACTAGAAAATTCTGCATGCCACTCACTCACTCACAAATGTTACATGCAAAAAGCCTGCAACTGTCACAGGCTGGCACGCAGCCACAGTTAGCATCCAAAGTCTGCTGCTCGTACTACAAGACAGTATCATTAGCTAGGCACTAGTGGCTCACACCTGTAATCCTCCCAGGAGGCTGAGATCTGAGGGTCACAGTTCAAAGCCAGTATAGGCAAGAAATTCGGCAAAACTGTTATCTTCAGTTAAACAACAAAAAGCCAGAATTAGAACTGTATCTCAAGTGCAAGAGTGCAGCCTTGAGTGAGAAAGCTAAGGGGCAGCACCCAGGCCCTGGGTTCAAACCCCAGTGCCAGCACATATGCAAAAAAGACAGTATCACTGAAGCACTAAAATCAATTACAGGTAGCCCAGAAGGAATGGAACAAGTAATCCAGAGAAAAAAATATAGCCAAAGTTTCAAAATGTTAAGATTTTGAATCTTTTGATTTCAAGGGCACTAAATGTGAGCGCGCCTAGTCGACATGAACAGCACTGCCACTAAAGCGAACACAGCCTCAAGTGAGCGCTAGCTAGCATAGCTTTGGCTAGACAACACAACAGTCCGGCCAATTCATGAGCTCTGGGGTGACAGAGAACAGCTTCTTAATGTGTGCTCTTGAGGCGCGGCATCTTTCTGACATGGGGTCACAGTTTTGCTTCCATGAGGCCACTCAACAAAACTGCCAACAGGACAACTGTCATGAGCCCAATTTCCAGGTCTCATATCCTAGCCTCACAACTTCCCAGGAGGTCAGTCAGTATCATTACCATTTTGACCGTGTTGTATTCTTTCCCAGGTATCACTCTCTTGTGAAGTGGTGGTATTTTTTCTCATTTTACAGATGCAAACGAAAGTGAAATTGGAAATCAACTAATACACAAAGATGACAATCAAGATGGAGTAACAGACCCAGTTTAAGTTCTCACTTAAAATACATTAAAAAGATTTTTGGAGGGTACTCCCATTTGAACTTAAGGCCTTGCATTTGCTAGGCCGGAGCTCTACACTTGGGCTAGGCCTCCTGGCCTGTTATTTGTAGTTAATTTTAAGATGAGGCCTTGCTTCCTGCCCAGATGTGAGCCTCCTGCAATGCCTCTTCCAGTCTTCCAGCAGGTGCACACCCAGTTTGACTCCATGGAGATGGGAGTCTTGTGGACTTCTCCACATGGGCTGGCCTTCAACTGTGAGCCTCCCAATCTCTGCCTCCCACATATACTGGGAGTGACAGGTACATGCCACAACACCCAGCTACGGGCTGAGAAAGGAGTCTCAAGATCTTTTCTGCCTGGCTGGCTTTAAACTTTGATCCTCCTAATGACAGCCTCCCAAGTAGCAAGGATTACAGGCATAGGCCACCAGTGCTCAGCTTATATGAAACATTTTCAATGAAAGACAGTGAAAGGGGCGTGCGTGAGAAAGAGCCAGAGAGAGCAAGACAACAAGCCAGAGGGAGAGGAGTACATATGGAGAACTGTAGAGGTATTCAGGTCTGATCCTGACACCTGATCACCATCACATGAGGCAACTGCCCAATACCAGATAGAGAGTCACATGGGAAAACTAAGTCCCTACATGACTGCTCCCACCAGTCAGAAAAGAAAACCTCACCATGCGTGGTGGATGGGGTTCAATACAAATGAGGGCTTTGCTTCATAATGCCTCAAAGTAACTTGTGTGCCCCAAAATAAGGCTCAAAAGCATAATGGGAACACAAGAATATCCAGTGTTAGCCAGGCACTGGTTGCTCACACCTGTAATCCTAGCTACTCAGGAGGCTGAGATCTGAGGATCATGGTTCAAAGCCATCCTGGGCAGGAGAGACTGTGAGACTTTTATCTCCAATAAACCACTAGAAAACCAGAAGTGGTGCTGTGGCTCAAGCGGTAGAGCGCTCGCCTTGAGCTGAAGAGCGCAGGGACAGCGCCCAGGCCCAGAGTTCAAACCCCACGACCGACAAAAAAAAAAAAAAAGAATATCCAGTGTACAGCAAGGTAAAATCACAATGCCCAGCATCCATTACAAAAACTATCAGGAGCCGGCTGTTGGTGGCTCATGCCTGTAATCCTAGCTACTCAGGAGGCTGAGATCTGAGGATCATGATTCAAAGCCAGCCCAGGAAGGAAAAGCCATGAGACTCTAATATCCAATAAACCACCAGAAAACGAAGTGGTGATGTGGCTCAAGTGGTAGAGAGCTAGCTTTGAGCTGAAGAGCTGAGGGACAGTGCCCAGGCCTAAAGTTTAAGCCCCACAATTGACAAAAACAAAACAAAACAAAAAAACCTATCAAGAATGGAAAAAAGCAGGAAACAGACCCATCACCAAGGGCAAGCTCAGTCAATTGAAGCAGTCCCAGAGAATGGAATCAGCAATATTTAAGAGTAATAAAACTTTTGAACATTAATGCGGCAGAGTAAATAGCTTTAATGGACTGTACGAAGTGACAACTTTAAGCACAAAGAAAACAAATAGTCTAGTGAGTTGAAATACATTAGATCAATGCAAATCCGTAGGTCCATAATACTACAAAAAGGAAGACAGTGAAACTCTTCAGTCACTATTTGAAACAGTTATAAAACAACTAGCAATTATCCTGAATTTTCATAGAAACTAGCACTCAAGATAGCTAACTAGCTCTCCAGCTGGTAGAAGTTGCTACTCTACAGAAGAAACCAGCACAGCACATGTAAAACAGCATATATTCAGGCAGGTCCAACAACTGGTGATAAAGCATTAGGTGAATGGATGGTAGTGCTGAACTCACACCAAGTAGATTACTTTCTGGTCAGAAGGTGAAAACATACAACTTAACGGGACAGGGGCTGTTCTGATCAGTGGACTGAGCAAATCCCCTTGTCTTGTGAAGTGATGTAACACAAAACATATAGCACTGCCTACCCAAATGTCCAATTTTGTCCATTAAGCCTTGAGGCATAATGGGCAAATTGTCAGAGATGTAGAGGACAGAGGAACAATCAGCATCACAAGAAAACCACCAGATGATAGGAATTCTAAAGGACAACTGGCTAAGTCAAGAGTTTTCAAGTTTTTTTAAATGTATGGGCCATGTGAAAGCAAGACTTAAAGGACATAATTAGATGTAAGGCTCATTTCCAGCATGGACACCGTTCATAAACAAGCCATCAAGGGCATTTGGGTCAGGAGGAAGAAATTAACCTGATAGGTGAGAAAGAAATTTGTTGGAAAGGTAAGAATTATGAAATTTAAATAAAGTTACAAACAGTGCACATCACATCTATTTGTACTTGTGTATAAGCCCAGGTGCACACAAGAGAAAATAATATGCACACATAGACAGCTGTGATGGTGGGAATGTGATCCTTTAATCAGTAATTGCTGACTACAAAATGGTAAGTTCTGGTTTTATAATAGGTGCTTTTTTGCTGTCAATATATAATTTTTTTTTTTGGTCAGTCATGGGGCTTGAACTCTGGGCTTGGGCGCTGTCCCTCAGGTCTTCAGCTCAAGGCTAGCGCTTTACCTCTTGAGCCACAGCACCACTTCCGGTTTTTTGTGTGGTTTATTGGAGATAAGAATCTCACGGACTTTCCAGCCTAGGCTGGCTTTGAACTGCAATCCTCAGATCTCAGCCTCCTGAGTAGCTAGGATTATAGGTGTGAGCCACCAGCGTCCGGCTTGTTGTCAATATTTTGCTTTTTACATGTCATCCTTGGAAATGCAGACCAGTAAGAAGCAAATTCCTACATCTAACAACAAAGCCTACAGCACAATCAGGCCATGGCTCTCTGAATAAGACCTGATTCACTTCTCTGATTTCTCCTTAAGTAGGTAAGCCATGGTCTAAGTAAGCAACGATTGCTGCACAACACAGGAATAACTCCAGGGGAGAGACAAAGAAGATGAGCAATAACTGGATTTTCCTGGAGTCTGCCTACATGCATCTTGGAATGTGGGCTCAGCTTGAGAATGAACAAAACTAAGGTTGTTTTCTGTTGTTGTTGTTTTTTAATCAAGCCAGCAATCAAATGCACAAAGGAAATGTGAAAGTCCAAAAGATACGCAGTAGTGGTGCCCAGGCACCTGTGACCCACCATTTCCCTCCAGAAGTCACTGGAGTTCTATAAAGACAGTAAAGGCCACCGTTTGGTATGTCCATCTAACCAAAAGGCATAAAATGTACCTTCTACCATTGGGATCTTGGGGAAAGGTGCTGTGTGCAGCCAAGGGTCCATCTTTATTACTACATGAGCAATTCTTGTATACTCTGTCTTGCTGTCATTTAGCCATTCCTGTCATGGCCTATCAAACAGTTGCACCCTAACACTTAGTTTCCTGCTCAGAAGGAAGCAAAAAGGGACCTCAGGAACTTGGTAACTGGGAGCCTCCACAGCAAGACTTCCCGGTGGGCTGGCCGGGAAGATAAATGGGACGTTACCATTGTTGTTCACAAGACAGGAAGGCTGTTTCAAGGAGGTTGAGGATTTTCCTTTCTCTTTTGGTGCAGCTCATTCTCAGGAATAAGAAAATAAGTCTTTATTAGAAATTTCTCAGTCATTCAACATTTAATAATCAGGAGCCAACTGTGTTAGAAAGAGAAAATAAATGTAAACAATATCTGATTCCTAGACCCAGAAGATTTTGGTCAGAATTAAGAAATGAAGATTTAACTCTTCCTCCAAACAGCCTAGACTAGGTTATCAAATCCTCTTAAGTAAAACAACCATTTCAGCTCACAATATAGAACTTTCACCTATCTTGGAGCTAGGAATGTGACTTTGTGGTAGAATGCTTGCCTAGCATGCATGAAGCCCGCACATGAGCACGCATGTGTGTACATGCACACACACACACTCTATAAATTTCTCCAAGTGCTTAAAAATAAATGGCTTTACAATTTTCCAGATAAAACTTCCAATCCAGTCATTATCAATAAGCATTCAGCAATAACTAAACTACTCAAATTCATCTACACTGATTAATAAAAACTAATGGCAGCTGCACTATTTTTCTCAAATTGCTCCACTGATCTAAGTTTTCTAGAAACAACATGGTCAGTGTAAGTTCTAAGTGTCTGGATCTACTTGTGACTAGCATCTGCGTTACTCTGTGAGCGAGGGGAGCCACATACCACAGTCCTGACCCAGCCAACGCTTTGATGCCAACCTCAACCACAGGCCTCTTGTCTTTTTTACATGCCCTCATTTCAGAGACTACTTTCCACTTCCATGGCTGTACTCTTAACGCAACTGATTCTCAGTAACTCTTAATACCTTGTCTCTTGGCATACAATTAGTTTTGAAAACATTCTTTAGTAGCTTAACAGGTGGGTGCTTTGTTAATACCAACAGAAATGTCACACAAAAATCTTCAAAGCTACTTTGATCATGCTTCCAGGGAATGCAAGAGCTGCCATCATAAAAGCCCCCAGATACCCTCTGCCCTGAGTCAGACGTACCTGGTTAGCACTGCTGGCCGCGGATGAACTGGCTTGTGCTGCTGTACTTGCTGAGAGGGAATCGAGAAAGGCTTGGTCAGCCACAGAATTCCCACAAGAAAATTGGTCTTTTCCATCACTGGGTAAAATCTAAACGTTAGAAAGAACTAGAATTAGTTTTACAGATGGGGATCACTTCAGAAGGAGAGCTTCTTAAGACATGCTAGAAGGACCATCAATTATGGAAAAAGGTTTTTACATGTCTGTCATGTATTACAGAAAAGGGGTTTTAAACTCTTGAATGCTATACATTTTCCTCTAAGTACTGCTTTGACTGCATTCAGAAAATTTAGTACACTGTATTTTTATTTTAATTTGAATTGTTTTATAACTTCTCAAGATTTCATTGGCACATGTAATTTGGAAATGTGTCGCTTAATTTCCAAGTATTTTAGAATTTTCAGGTAATCTTTCTGTTAGGGATTTTGAGTTTTATTCCACTGTATTTTGGGGTTGATCTACTGATATTTCATTTTTTTAATGAAAAGCATATATTTTAAAAAATTAAACTTAAAAAATTATAAAAATTTTAGCCACATGCTTGTGGTTCACACCTGATCCTATGTACTCTGGAAGTTGAGATCTGAGTATCAAGGTTCAAAGCCAGCCTATGCAGACAAACCTGAGAGACTCATATCTCCAATTAGCCAACAAAAAACTGGAAGAAAAACTGTGACTCAACTGATAAGAGTGCTAGCCTTGAATACAAAGCTCACGGACAGCACCCAGGCCCTGAATTCAAGCCCTAGGAACTCTCCCCCCACGCACTCTTACACACACACACACACACACACACACACACACACAATTTCAAATTTTACACAGTTTTAAATTTTAAAGGTGAACGTGCATCCGGCTTTGATGGATGCCCAGGCATCCATCACATCAATTCACTGATGGAATACTGTTGAGTTCAACTATGTTCTTACTGATTTTCTACCTGTTGGATCAATCCATTTCTGATGGTGGAGAAAGACTAGCCTTAAAAGATAAGCAAATCTGAGAATTCTGAAATAATTCCTTTCTAAAAGCAGAATTTTAAAAAATATAATCAATGCTAATTAATGAATGCTAACTTAAATCCTTAGTTGTTTTTCTCAGTCTTGTCCATTTTAGGATTCCAGATGCTCAACGAATTGATTTTCAGCAGGCTATGAAGCTCAGAACTGTGCGCTGGGCTCAGCGGCTATACATCGCCTGCAACCATGTACATTTTCACACTTTTATAAGGAAAATCTACAGATTTCATCAAATTCTCCAGCAGGTTTGAGGTTCTAAGCCTCACTATCAAGAACAACAAAAATTCAGCCCACCCCTCAGCCTCATTTTGCAGACAGATCCAGAAACATCTTCTGGAAGTGAACCAAATAAAGTGCCTTAAATCTCAAACTATCTCCAGTTGATTCACAGGTGTACCAGGCAACTCTGGTTACTTTCTGTCACCCAAGTTTCAGATGAGCTTACCAACTACCTAGCATTGGTTCTGAGGGATCAAAAGCCAACCAGCAGGGGGTGGTAGGCAGCTGACTGAAAGGAAGTGGTGTGTTCAGGCAGGGACACACCTACGGGATACCGTGATATTATCTTTGGCGCTTACTACATAGGATTCATGCCAGGCCAGCTCCTCAGAAGCCCATTCAGCATACCTTTCTGTCTATGGAAACATGGAAGGGAACTGAGGGAATATCTTTTTCGAAAAATCTATTTAAATGTTGTGAATTAATTCTACATCAAACAAGAGATGTGAGCAGCAGCTATTACACAGCATCAGCAAAGGAAAAATAGTCACTCCTGCTTAGAAAAATTAAGTTTCTATCTTTGGAAGGAACTTTTTCTAAACATGTCGTCACTCTTTGGAGCTTGGGTCTATAGATAATACCTTTGTTTAGTTCTAGTTCAGTGTATTTTCCAAATTGTATATAGTAAGCATACAGTACAATGGGGATTTTATGTTTTAAAGAGCTGCTTCCTGGCTGACACTGACACTGAGCCCTTACCTCCACATAGTCTGTGGGAACAAGCCCTTGTTCTCCTTTGCTGTTTCTTCCTTCCAGCCATCCTCCACCAATATCCTAATAGTCACCAAAAAAAAAAGAAAAAAAAAGAAAGAAGTTACCGTTAGAATGGAATTGTTATAAATTCATTCATAAATTGTTGTTAATATAAGTTGTTCACTACAAAGTAACATTAGGCATTTTATAACTACAAAGCTAACACTGAAAAATTGTAAATTCTTTATTTTTTGTTAGTCATGGGGCTTGAACTCTGGGCCTGGGCACTGTCCCTCAGCAGTTCAGCTCAAGGCTAGTGCTCTACCTCTTGAGCCACAGCGCCACTTCCAGTTTTCTAGTTTATTGGAGATAAGAGTTTCATGGACTTTCCTGCCTAGGCTGGCTTTGAACCCCAATCCTCAGATCTCAGCCTCCTGAGTAGCTAGGATGACAGGGGAGAGCCACCGGCACCTGGCTAAATTTTAAATTCTTAAGACTTTTCTACTCCAGAAAATGATGTAATCTAAAACCAAGACCTACTGAACTTCAACAATAAGTGACTGTGTATAGTCACTGTGATTCCTTTCTATCGACTGGTGTCTGGTGGGTAGATGACCAAAGTGGTTTGCAGCTCTGTCAAGCAGAGGAGTTTATATCCCACCTCGCTCTGCTTTATACAGGATAAGGTAGAGATTGTCCAGGGGTGTTTGAAGCCTGGCTAAAAGGGGCTCTGTCCCTATCACTCACCCTCGTAGAACCCCAAGACATTACGTGAATTAATTTGAGTTAGCAATGATGAGCTTCCCTGGTGCCCACTCATCCAAAGGCAGCCCACCAAGACAACTGGGTGAGACCATTGGGCTGCCAGCCAGGACAGATTGCTGCTGACACCAGCATGGCCAATCAGAGTTATTCAGCTGATTCACAGATTAGTAGCGTATGGGTATTGGTTAAAACCACTATGTTTTGTTGCTGTTTTGTTTTTCAGTGTTGTGGATCAGACATGCTAGGCAAGCACTGTACAAATGGGCTATAATCTCCACCTAAAACCACGAGGTTCTCCTGGATATAGAATAGTATCAGACTACATTCTACATTGAGATTTCTATTTTTCAATTTATTATCTCAGCAGAGTCCCATTTCTTTGTGAAAAGAGTAAAGATTTTATTAGATTTGTAAATAATGCTATAATTAGTTAATAAGTATATGACTCTAGATAACTACAATTGTCCTCCTTGATTGAGACATGAAATTATATATATTTATGGTGCACCAGGTGATATTTTAATAATGCTCAAGTCAGGGTAAGCGGGTTTATATCTTTAAGCATTTATTCCTTTTTTGTGATGAACACCTTCACAATCTTTCCTTTTACTTTTCTGGAACAAACAGTACATTATAGCTATCTAACCATATTATTTTTTTTTTAAATCACAACTTTTGTCACTTTTTTTTTTACTATAACAGAACCTGAAAAACATAATTTTTCCATAGAAAACAAATACAAAAGAATTTTTTTGGGGGGGTCCAGTTGTGGGGCCTGAATTCTGGTCCTGGGCACTGTCCCTCAGCTCTTCAGCTCAAGGCTAGCGCTCTACCACTTGAGCCACAGCACCACTTCCGGCTTTTTTCTTTTTGCTTATGTGGTGCTGAGGAATTGAACCCAGAGCCTCAGGCATGTAAGGCAAGCACTCTACCACTGAGCCACCTTCCCAGCCCCACAAAAGAATTTTTATGCTCTTCTATAATTAAAAAGAGAACTGAACCAGACACTGATGACTACACTTATAATGCTACTCAGGAGACTGAGGTCTGAGAATCACAGTTTGAAGCCAGCCCCAGTAGACAAATACTCGAGACTCCTCTCCAAAGAACCAGTATGAAATGCATGAGTATACAATGGGTGTACACATGTTCACATGCCTGTGAGTGGTCAAGTGTTTGCGTGCATGTGCACGTGCGCACACACACACAAAAGTGAAGAAGAGAATCAGATGTAGAGTGTTTTATATACCTACAGCTGAGAGGAATCCCTGAGAGAGTAGTTTAGACAGCAGTGGATTTAAGGTAGAGAGACCAGACAGGAAAGCACAAGAAGGTCAGAGCTTAACTCACAGTGTTGACTGTAAAGACCGGTGAGAAAAGAAAGCCTAGATATAAACAAGACCAAGAGTAATCAATGGCTTCCTGCGAATTCAAGTCTGGAATCCTAGTCGGGGTGACTGAAAAGATGCAGCACTACAGTAGAAAGGAAAATTCAGAAACAGAATTAGTACAGCATAGGTAACGAGCTGGCGAGTACTATGGACAGCTGAGTTTGACACACCTGTCAAGAAACTACATGACACACAAGGACAGGCAACTCCAAGGCCTGCACAGCCTGGTCAAGCTGCACTGCAGACACTACAGTTTCAGCACATGGGTAACAAGAATGGAAACCTGACAACATAGCTAAGGGAGAGAGGCCAAAGGCGGCACGGTATGGCAAAGCCCACATTGCCAAGGCAGAAAGAAGAATCCTAAAAGATGGCTAGGGCAAATGAGGAGGCATGGAGACTCAGACATAATCACTTTCGCTAGCAGGGCACACTCCATAAGGGAAACAGGCCTGCAGCCACTCTCCATAGAGAGGGCAAGGCAAGTTTCCCATTTTTGTGTCTGCATGTATACATGTATTCAGCATGGGTGACTGAAGTGAGGGAGAAGACACGAGACACCTTGCAGAGTGGATTCTCAGCAGTGGAAGGGGCTCAGGAACACAGACCAGACGCTATAGAAGCCCTGCCATGAAATCAACCACACTCAAGGCGTTGGGAGGAAGAAGTATAATGAGAGTAGCAATGAATAAAGTTCAGCTCATTTAAAATGACAAACACTAAATCTGCATACCTGCTTTTGTCCCTTCTTCAGCTATGTAAGCCCTGAAATACTAGTAATTGGGACGCTGTTCTTAGAACTGTATTTCATAGGGGGTTCATCCTCACAATTTGTTATACACCTTAAAGACATTTACAATAAAGCTTTATGTAAAAAGGACATGGGCGCCAGTGGCTCATGCCTGGAATCCTAGCTACTCAGGAGGCTGAGATCTGAGGATCACAGTTCAAAGCCAGCCAATAAACCACCCGAAAACTGGAAGTGGTGCTGTGGCTCAAGTGGGAGAGCCCTTGTCTTGAGCTGAAGAGCTGAGGGACAGTGCTCAGGCCCATTGTTCAAGCCCCAAGACTGACAAAACAAAAACAAAAAACAAAAAAACCCCAAGAACCACATTTGCTTCTGAGTTTCCTGACAACAAAGATCATAAAAGAAATCCAACAGGCTGGATGCAATGTCTCGTGCTTGTGTATCTAGTTAGTTGAGTGGGTGAGATCAAGATTACAGTTTGAGGCCAGCTTGGACAGAAGTTCACAAGATCCCATCTAAACCAACAAAAGTTGGGCACATTCAAACCAACTATGTGGAAAGAGAAAACAGCAAGATTATGGTCCATGCCCACATGAACAAAAAGTGAGACTTAAAAAAAAATAATGAATGCAAAATGGACAAGTACATGGCTCATGGTTCAAGTGGTAGAGTGTCTTTCTAGCAAGTACAAAGCCCTAAGTTCAAATCCAATGGGGGAGAGGGAGAGAGGAAGGACAGAGGAAGAAAAGAATAGAAAGATAGAAAAGAAAAAAGAAAAATGAATCCAGTAGTTTATCTAAGCCAGGCATGGTGGCTTACACTTTTAATCACAGCTAATGTGCAGGTGAGATGGGTAAGATCAGTTTGAGGCCAGTCTAAGCAGAGATGAGACCTCCCTCTCAATCACTTAGCCAGTGATCCTCTGTCCTGTGACTGTCACCTCTGCTATGCAGGAGGTCCGAGGACAGAGGATCACAGTCTAAGGCTAGTCCCAGGTAAACCACAAAACTCTACTTCAAAATAATAACTAAAGCAAAAAAGGACTGAGGGTATGACTCAAGTTGTAAGGCCTTGAGTTCAAACCTCAGTATTACCAAAAAAGAAAGGAAATTTAAACAATTCATTTAATGAAAGGAAATACACCAAATTTCTAAGAAAAAGAAGCTGTGGTAACAGATGGGAAGAGACAGAAATATTCCAGCTATGTGAGCAGATACACATATGTAAGGATGAGTATTCAAATTACAAATTAGTAATTACAAATGAGTATTCAAGCTACATAATCAAATGTAGTTTGTAAAGATGCAGAAATACAGAATTATTTTGTATTTGAATTCAGCAACGATAACTCTTATCAGGAGCTGAGCTAATCCAGTCTTAGTATACACTGCTTTTTGGTAATCTAATTTAAGGATAAAGCTTAGATCTAAGAGGGCGATCAGTGAGTAAGTGGTTCAGGAAAGTCAGTGGTCTCTGATGCACTCTAGAGACAGTGCTGGGAGAAAGCACGGTGTACTAGGCTCCAGAACCACTACAGAATGCCCCAAGCACTATAAATAATAGAGAGAAGATATACTCGGCTGTACACTCAGCTGTCCTTAGAGGACTGACGTTTTCTGTTTGTGTAACAGTTTCTAACTGTATCACCAGTACTTCATAAGCAACAGGTTAAAAAAAGCAACAACATTGTGTGGGCTGACTGGCCAATTTATCAAAACCTCAGATCTTACACAGAGCAGGGGGGTGGCCGGATGCAGCCAGTTCTCTTACCGGGTTTGTAATGGTGATGATCTCTCCTTCACTAACTGTCAGTTCATTATTTCCAGGTTCAGCAGCAAAATCATACATAACCCGAGCCTGTTAGGGTGAAGGAAAAGAAAGTGTTACAAATGAAACCTCAACAATAAAAACCCAGACAAGCTTTATAGCTGGCCTTGTAAGGAAGCACACGGCTGTGGCAGATTTAGAAGAAAGGAAGACACGTTATCACCTCTGGCTACATCCCCTAACTCAGTCTTGGAAGCACAGATGGTTTCTGGAAGCTGTCCACACTGCATTTAGAGATTTGCTCTGACAGTAACTCCACGTACACGTACAGCCCTTTCATTCACACACACACACACACACACACACACACACACACGCGCGCACACACACACGTGCGCGCACACCTTCCTTTTAGGAGTATGGGACAGAGAACTGCAGATGTTGCTCTTTCTGGGAACACTCACAGGGATGCATGGACTGAGGAGGTAATGACAAACATGCTGCTAAATCCGTTCATCTTTAGAAGAAGCCTTTTCTATTAAACTCTGGCCATGCAGGATCGTGTATGCCCTTAGACACTGCCAGGAAAACATGTCACTTTTCTTTTTTCTTTTTAACAGTGCTGGGGATAGAACCTAAGGCCTTGCACATGCGAGACAAGCATTCTACTGAGCTACATCCCCAGCCCAATAGCTTTAAAATTTATAATGAGTACATGTTTAAACCTAATCCATTTCAGTACCTTAAAAAAAGTATATTTCATAGATTACTACCCTAAGTCCATCCTGTAACTTGCCTAGGAAACACAGTGTTTGTCTAGAAGGCAAATTCAAACACACCTACAGGACTAGGTAAGCAGGACAGCAGAGCTGCATCCACTTAACAAATCTTCACTCAACACCCAGCACGTGGCAAGAGCTTGCTAAGCCCTTCTGCCCATCCTTGTTTGTGTAACTGTGCCTGAAATTAGTCAAATGGTGAATAAAAGATTCTCAACTAATGATAAAAGATTAAGGCGGGAAACCATACTATCTTGAAATGCACAAAATAAAATAAATGGACTGCTAAGTATGTGATAAAGCAGGTGCAAAAGGTTATAGAATTTAGATGATGAATTTATTGTGTCCAATGGAAGAGCATTGCTACTTCCTATATCTGACATTTTTACTAATAAAATGTTGGAAAGAATCAAATGGTAGGGGAGGCTGCCATTTAAAGGAAAATCGCATCAGCTCTGGGCTTGAGGAGGAGGAAGGGCTGAAGGACAGAGGCAGGCAAGCAAAGCTGGTCAGCCCAGCGTGGCCGAAGTCAAGACAAAGGACAAAGAAATCACGTGGAGGTATTTTCCTCACACAGCTGCAGATTGAATTCTGCTTGTCATGTTGTGGGATATTTTTCAAAACCATGTCACATCAACCTCAGTCTTCGTGCACTGGGGCAGCTAAGAGATAAATGCTTGGAGGTGCCCCAGGAAGGAAGTGAGCTTCCCTGGAGAGGAGCCCAGTGTGCGAACTGAGCCAAGCTCCGGGCTGGCAAGAGAAATCTGCTGTTTTACCATTCCTTAAGAATCCTGGTGAAGTTTATTTAAACCCCAAATCCACTAGTTCCCAATACAGAATTACTAAACTTGCAATCTGGTCAAATGGAATATGATACAAGTCAAAAACAAATAGCTACTCATTTAGATACTGTGCACATTTACTCACTGCTACGGTTTGAATGTTTCTGTCACTTCTACCGCTCACATTGAACCTTAATCCCAATGCGGCACTGTTGCCAGGTAGGGTGGAAGTGGCCCAATGGGATGTGTTTAGCTCAGGAGGGCTGAGCCTCAGGATCACACTACCATCAAAGGAGCTTGTAGGAAGGCTAACAGAATCCATATAAAAGGCTACCAAAATCACTAGACCATATTCCTCCAGTTCCCAAGCTGCACTCATAAACATGCTACATGTGATGCTGTACACTTTTAAAACAGGCAAAATAAGTAAGTCAAAGCTGGAATAGTTTAGCACTGTTCATCCCTTCCAGTGAGAGACTTGAAGGTATCCTTTTAAATATATGCATCTGCCACACCTGTGTTCTTTCTTTCTTACACACACACACACACACACACACACACACACACACGCACACACATTCTCTCTCTCTCAAAAACAGAGAGAACCAGCTAGAACCACAGTATACAGCCTTCCACATTTCATTTGCAACTGACTCTTTGAGCTCTCCTATCAGCACATTGACCCTTGTTTATCACAGCTAGGTTACTAATCCACTTTTCAACCTCTATGGCAAAGCACAGAGAAATTCACTGTGGCTAAGGAAGTCACCTCTAGCCTCAAACTGAAATAGTTGTATTTTTATTCTAATTGTAAGGCTACATCTTTTTTTTAGGAAAATAAAAACTACACAGAAAAGATGAAAGGTGGTAGTGCCCAAATGTCAAACTCCAGAGGTGGGACAGGAACTTGCCCGGTGAGAGGGCTCACCGGCACCGCGTGCAGGACAGACAGGGCATCCAGGACACACAGCGCATGTGGCCCACACCCTGTAGAGGGAGAAAGGTCACTTTCAGCCCCTTGCAGTTATGAACGGGCTTTGGAGCCAGGCACTAGTGTCAGATCCCCATGACACTACTTCACCAGCCTTAAAAACTGGCCAATCCTTACCCCCTCAAATTCCTCAAGAATAAGATAAGGATAACAACAGCATGTGCCTCGTGACAGGGCGGGAAGTGAAGTAATAAAAACAAAGTGCAGAATGATGGCTGCCAGAGCAGCAGTAAATGTCAGGTGAGGACCTTTGAGTTTTTAAACATTACATACAAACTCTGCATGTACTAAAGTAAAATGGTGGCACACAGGTAACTACTTCCTTGCTGCAGCTACTGGAAGTAGCTTTGGGGTTCCATGAGAAAGTACAGCCCCCAGCTACTGATTCCCCATAGAAGGTGTTTCTGTAATCTGCTTTTTAGCTTAGGCCCATTCCACACTGTCTCAGCCATAGTGTGGCCCTGCAGGCCTGGTGCAGACGTCAGTGGCGGAGTGGGAGATACAGCGGCTTTGGTGATCTGGAGGGCAAAGCAGAAAAAAAGTCTACCAGACGCCCATCTCCAATTCACCATTAAACTTCTGGGCTGGAGGCGTGGGCCAAATAGTAGAGTACCAGCCAGGAGCAAACAAAGTGACCAAGAGAGGAAAGCTCTGAGTTCAAGCCCCAGTATCAACACACATCCACAAAATGACTACAGTTGTAAAATGCAAGTAGTGACATGAGAAATGGCACTACTGGACTCACTGAGAGAGGACTAGACATTCCACAGAAATGGCATAGGAACACTTGAAGCCACAGTGCCAAGAACCACAAGCAGAAAAGAAGGGCAGACCGTAGCAGCTGCGAGTCAGTAACCTACTACCCAATTCACCACACTGGAGTCCCAGGAAGGGGAGGGGGAACAGAAAGAGTCAGGTGAAGAAGTTAGTCAAGTTCTCCAATTGGAGAAGTCCTAGTAGCAAAGTAAGTCCCACATGAGAAAAATAAAGTCAGCCAAACAAGACATCACAATCAAATTGTAAGTAAGTAAAGCATTACAGAGATGAATCTTAAAAAAACAAAAAACGGGGGGGGGAGAAAGCAAATATGTTATGGATAGAGGAACAGCATGTGAAATGTTTACAGAGAAAAAAAAAATGAAAGACTTCTCACCAGGAGCAAAGTCAGTCAAAAGCTCTGCTTAAAGTGCTGAAAAATAACAAACCAACCAACCTAGAACTCTATACCTAGAAAAATATTGGCAAAATGGAAGTGGCACTGTGGCTCAAGTGCTACGTAGAGCACTTGCCTTGAACAAAAAGAAGCTCAGGGAAAGTGCTCAGGCCAAATTCAAGCCCCAGGACTGGCAATAAATAAATGTGTGTGTACTCAAAAAAAAAAAAAGTTGGTTAGCTGGGCACCGGTGGCTCATGCCTATAATCCTAGCTATGCAGAAGGCCAAGATCTGAAGACTGTGGTTCAAAGCCAGCCAGGGCAGGAAAGTCCATGAGACTCTTATGAGACTCTCATCTCAACCACCAGAAAACCAGAAGTGGGTCTGTGGCTCAAATGGTAGAGTGCTAGTCTTGAGCTAAAGAGCTGAGGGACAGTGCCCAGGTCCAGAGTTCAAGCCCCACGACTGACAAAAAAAAAATCTTTCTGTAATTGTACAGTACAAAGGAGGTACCATTCAACAAATAAATTTATGAATACAATGCATCCTGATTGATATTTCCCCCTCATCATTCTTTCCCATCTCTCCCAAGCTAACCCCTACCCTCAATTTTCCTCGTTTCATAGAACAGGCATTGAATATTATGACTGTATTCCCCTCCTTTTCCTTATGAGAGAGAATTTTGAAGATTCCCAACACAAATGATAAATATTTAAGGAGATAGAAATATGTTGATTTCAAAGTTGCACATTCTATACATCTATTATTAAACTGTAACTCATAAATATGTACAACTAGTGTGTCAATTAACAAAAGGTGAAATAAACATTTCCAGATAAACAAAAGCTGAGAATGTCACCAGTAAATTAACACTGTAGGAATTGTTACGGGAAGTTCCTAAACCGTATGAAAATGACAGTAGATTGGAAATTGAATCTATGCAAGAGAGAATCAAAATTGGTAAACATGTAATTCATGTTCAATTTCTATAAAATGTAACTAAATTTTCAAACAAGAATAACATACCATGAGATTCATAATTTTAAGAAATGTAACTTATAACCAAAAAACCCCACAGTGGACAGGAGGAGCAATGGAAGTACATTGCTTTAGAGTTCTTAGATATGAAGTACTATAATACTGTCTGAAGTTAGAATATGTTCAGATACAGAAGAATACTATGAACCTGAGAGCTAATTAACCTGCTAGTTAACTGGAGAGTCTCATGGATTTGTCTGCTCAGGCTGGCTTTGGACCAGGGTCCTCAGATTGTAGCCCCCTGAGTAGCCAGGATTACAGGTGTGAGCTACCAGTGACCAGCTAAGGATTAACGTTTAAGTATGATGACAAGAATTTTGAGTATGTGGAGTTCCTTTAACT